TATGTACATATGTATGTGTGTATATATATACACGTATATATGTATGTATGCATGTATGTATGTATGTGTGTATAAATATATATATATATATATATATATGTATTGTATGTATGTATGTATGTATGTATGTATGTATGTATGTATGTATGTATGTATGTATGCATGTGTGTATATACAGATAGATGTGTATATATATATATATAGCAACCCAATAAAACCTTCTACAATCCTATAAAGCCATCCAAAACACTACAAACCCCCTACAAAATCCTTTACAGTTCTATAAACCCTCTAAACCCCTATAAAACCCTGTAAAAAATTGAACCCTGTAAAATCTATCCAAACACTGGCCTGACCATTCAGCGATTCCAGGGCTTGCCTGGAACAGGGCAGCTAATATAGGGGGCCTAGCTAGCTTCAACAGGGATCCTTTAGAAGTTCTACTGGGGTAATTCTGTGACATACCGGCCTCAATAATTTTAACAGGGTTTTAAAGTATATTCGCCTCGGCCCCCGGCCGAAGCGGTCAGAGGTTCCTATTCGGACTTCCTCTATTCCCCACCTCTTAATCCCCTCCCCAGTGACCCCCACCCCTCGAAAAAGGTCATCCTGGGGGAGGGGGGGGAGGTCCCTCTGTGTGAACCCGAAAATGAGGGTGCTGTGGTGAAATCTCGCCTCCTCCAATGGATTTGGGCTCTCTGTAGGGGAGTCTCACCCACCACACCCCCAGGCCATCCCTCCTGCTGCCATGCCTTGCTTCCCTTTTTTGTGTGGTAGGAAATTGATACGCAAGTTGATACGCAAGCTCCTCCCCTTCCCGCTCTTCGTCCGCTCCGCCAACGGCGCCCAGCAGCTCGTTGGCCCTCTTTGTTTGCGGCCGGGCCGAGGCGGACGACGCGAAGCGTTTAAATTACACTGTGTTTATATTGGGGACTCCACAGCAATGATACTAATTACAGGGGAAGGCTTCTACGCAAGAAGTTCTGCTTGGATACCTCGAAAGACCCTGAAACCCTACAGATGAGGCTGGAGCGCTTGGGTTTAGGGTTTAGGGTTTAGGGTGTAGGGTTTAGGGTTTAGGGTTTAGGGTTTAGGGTTTAGGGTTTTGGTTCAGGGTTTAGGGTTCAGGGCTCAGGGCTTTGGTTTAGGGTTTAGGGTTTGGGTGCAAACCTGCCCCAGCCTGAATTTGGCTGGCGTGCACCGGGTGCAGCCACGTGGGCAGAGGCGCCTCTGGGACATGGGACAGGTGGGGACGGTCGTGCTGTTTTGGGCTGCTTTAGGGCTGAACAGTGGCTTAGAAATGTTTTAGCGTTCGTGTCACATGCACTTTTGAAGCTTAGGATGTAAGCGTTTAGGGCCGACGCATTTCCCCTTCACGGTTTCGACTATGCTGTCTAGTAGTCAGGGCTTCGAGCTTCGATGTCTGAGGTATGAAGGCTTCCGATTGTCAGTAAGAATGAGAAGAAGGTGGAATATTCAGAATGTTATGGCCAAAATTAGGTCATCGTGGCAACTGTTGCAACACAGGTTCAAGCTCTCAGAATACTGTGACTGATACAAGGAGATCCCGACATCTCAAACCCCCAAACCCGTGGCCCCAACCCCGAGAACCTTAAACGTGAAACACCTAAACCCCAAAACCCGAAGCCTTGCACAGGGGCTCCCCTAAACCCGCTGACTCTAGCCTAAACGCCTATGTCATTAAACTCGAAACCCTTCTGCCCTAAACCCTGAATCCGTTGAAACAACCCCTGAAAAGCCCCTCAAAACCATTGAACCCTTAATCCCCAGACCCTAAACCCTCAATGAAAAAGCAGAAAAGCCCTGCAAAGCGCCCCAGGGCCCTAAACCCTAAACCCCAAAGCCCTAAACCCTAAACCCGAAACCTTAAACCCAAAGCCCTAAACCCTGAATCCTAAACCCTAAACTATAAACCCTGAACCCTAACCCCAAACCCCTAAACCCCTAGACCCTAAACCCTAAACCTTAAACCTTAAACCCTGAACCCGAAACCAAAAACCCTACCGAACCTCAAGAGGCTCCGCAGTGGCTTCGCGAAGTCGAAGTGCAGTACTCTGTGCACGGCCTCGAGCATGTCCTGCGGCTAACAGGGTTTCGGGTTTAGGTTTCTGGTTTAGGATTTTAGGGTTTGGGGTTTAGGGTTTGGGATTTACGGTTTAGGGTTTAGGATTTAGGGTTTAGGAAGGGTTTAGGGTTTAGGGTTTAGGGTATGTCCTGCAGCTAATGTAGGGGCCTTAACAATTAGAGCAGGGTTTGGGTGTATATTATACTATTATCATAATAAGGAACCCCCAAAACCCTATTCTAACTATTATAGAAAAAGCCCCTATATTAATAGAGTTTCGGGTTTAGGATTTAGGGTTCAGGGTTTGGAGTTTAGAGGTTTAGGGGTTTCTGGTGTAGGATTTCCCCTGAACCTAACAGGCTTACGGATCTTTCAATGTTTTTGGGCTCCTGGTTAAAATTCTGGTATAATATACCCCAATATACCCCAAACCCTATTCCAATTATTAAGGTCCCTATAGCAGGCAGAATGTTAGCTACCCTAAACCCTAAACCCTAAACCCTAAACCCTAAACCCTAAACCCTAAACCCTAAACTCTAAACCCTAAACCCTAAACCCTAAACCGTTTCGTAAGCACAAAGGCTCGCGAGGCCGCTGCCTTTCCACGGTAAACCTACAACATCGGCACCTCTTCGTGCCGCGACACCTAACAATGGTAAATGCCCACGGTTTAGGGTTTAGGGTTTAGGGTTTAGGGTTTAGGGTTTAGGGTTTAGGGTGCCACAACAGGATCGACCTGGTGTTCCAGAAGGTCTGCGAGCGCCAGTTTTTATGTGCATGTCGCAAGGCTGCGGCCCAGGAATGTCGCTTGGCAGCAAGGACGTGGTTCTGAGCACTTTCCAAAGTCGTGTCAGATCCTGTAGCTTTATTGATCAAGCTGGGCACATGCACATGGGAATTTCCGAAAATAGGGGACCCTAATATAGTACCCTAAATAATAGGATCCCTATTACAAGGACCCCAAAATAAGGTACCCTAATTTTCTGAAACTCCCACATCACAATCTGGTTTCTTCTACAAAAACGCGGTGGTGCTTGGATCCCAGAAATGATGCCATAAACTTCAGCCAGCACCTGCGCAGCTTCAGTTTCTGCTGTGTTTTGGTGTGTGCTTCAAGAGCCATCGAGTTCGTAAGTAGGGGGATACGTACCTTACTTCGGGGCCTATGAAACGGTTCAGGATTTCGAGTTAAGTTCAGGGCGTAGCTACACGGCTGAGGTTTGAGCATTTTTGCCTGCAGGGCTCTGGGTCTTATATAGGGGCCTTAATAATTAGAATGGAGTTTGGGTGCCCATTATACTATAATTGTAATAAGGAACCTCCAAAATAGTACTGGTAATTGTTAAGGCCCCTACATTATTTGGAAGTGCCATGAACACCGGTTGCTCTCCGATGCAAAATCCTATACCTGACACCTTGAACCCGAGAAGGCTTCAGGGTTGAGGGCTTAGGGTTCAGGGTTCAGGGTTTAGTGTTTAGGGTTTAAGGCTTAGGGTTTAGGGTTTGGGGTTCAGGGTTTAGGGTTTAGGGTTTGGGGTTTAAGGTTTGGGGTTCAGGGTTCAGGGTTTAGGGTTTAGGGTTTAGATCTTTGGGTTTAGGGTTTAGGGTT